GTTTCACAGTGCGGCTCATTTCAGTAGCTCACACAGCAGGAAGGAAACACAGGGAAAACATATTTCAATACTTTTTCTCGCAGTTATATCGTTGGGTAAGTATAGGCGACTGTATAAAAATTGCGGGCATCAGGGAGCCGCTATTGAAACCGCTTTCGAATGCGCGCTCTCATTTTACTTTCACTTTCACTTTTGAGATTTGCGATCACAAGGACTCTATACTATGGAGAGGCAGTACTTACCACACATTTGACAAGATTAGATGTTTGTCATTGGTGCTCAGGATCTGCAAATCATTCACCATCGTCCTATCAGACATTTCTCCTTACTCTGTGTATGTGGTAAGCGAACTTTCATGTACTGTAATGCAACAGGCTACCGCTAGCAAGCGGCTAACCTTTTAGTGGCTACGTATAACGCGTTATTTGTTTCACGCTTCGGGCACACCCCTATCCTATAAATATCCTATAGCAGACACAGCCGGCTGAACGTACTGTATCAGTGCATTCTCTTAAAGTGACAGCACTTTCTTAATATTAATCAAACAACAACAACAAGGAAATCACTCACTGCTCTTGATTGAATAACTTTTGTAACTTTAATAAAGATTCATCTTTAATTTATACAGTCAAATATGCAATGCTATTTTACATTTGATTACTTTATTCAATTTCTGTACCTAAAAACTATAAACATAGCACATACCGAATAGTACCGAAACCATGACTCTAAAACCGTGATACAAACCGAACCGTGAGTAAGTTGAACCGTTCCATCCCTAATAAATAATACACACACACATTTTTCTAACTTTATTCTGTTTTAAAATTAGTTTGAAGTTAATGTACTAAAATATAAACATTAATAAATTTATACAGACATTTAAAAATAATACAATTTTAAATATCTATATTTTTTACACTACGTTTAAGTACATCAAGTTTACCTTGATGTACTAAAATTAAACATTTCTACAAAATATAAATAATTTTAAAGATATATATTAAAAAAATAATAATAATTTGTATATAAATATATAATTTTAAATAAATAAAAAGAAAAAAAACCTTCAAAATATTAATAAAAACTATAAAAGTATCTCTATCCTAAAATAACATTGAACACAATCACAGTCATCAGTCCCCCAACAACAAGTGGTTTCTGAGTGTCTCTTACCTGTCTTCATCTGCACCAGTTGAGACCGTAAAAGCACTGGCAGCGCCGTCCTGTCCGAGAGCAGCCACCGGCCCAGCCCTGCCTCCTGTTGAAGTTAATGTACTAAAATATAAACATTAATAAATTTATACAGACATTTAAAAATAATACAATTTTAAATATCTATATTTTTTACACTACGTTTAAGTACATCAAGTTTACCTTGATGTACTAAAATTAAACATTTCTACAAAATATAAATAATTTTAAAGATATATATTAAAAAAAAAATAATAATTTGTATATAAATATATAATTTTAAATAAATAAAAAGAAAAAAAACCTTCAAAATATTAATAAAAACTATAAAAGTATCTCTATCCTAAAATAACATTGAACACAATCACAGTCATCAGTCCCCCAACAACAAGTGGTTTCTGAGTGTCTCTTACCTGTCTTCATCTGCACCAGTTGAGACCGTAAAAGCACTGGCAGCGCCGTCCTGTCCGAGAGCAGCCACCGGCCCAGCCCTGCCTCCTGCAGCCAGAGACAGCAGCGTGTGGTGCTGCAGCAGGAGCCGCTGCGCATCTTCCAGCTGTGAGGCCGTCACGTATGCGGGGCCCGCCAGGTGCAGCGGGGCCCTCAGCGGCTGCAGGTCGCTCTGAGCGGAGCTGCGGGATGAAGACAGCTGCGCTCCAGGTTGGTTCGGGTTGATGCCCATCTGCGGGGGCCTCGGAGACACGGGCCCCGGAATCCCGATGGACACTGGAGTGGCTCTGGGCGACACTGCGTTCGGAATCGGAAGAGGTTGGACGTTTGCCGCGATCTGAGCGTATTCCACCGGAGTGTAGCTGCTCTGGGGCTCTACACTGTAGGATCGAACCGGAGCGGATGAGCTCTCCGTCAGAGGAACCATGTGAGCGCAAACCTGATGGACATCTCCGCCGCCGCTCAAGGTGCTTCCAGAGGAGCTGCCGCTCGTGGTCTCGTGTTCTGATTGAATGACGCTCTCCACTGCTCTGTGAGCGACAGAGGCGACGGACGCGACGTCTCCAGGCGGCGCGTCTTTTTCGTAAAACTCCGTACAAGTCCAGCGTCCCTTCCGAAACGGCTCCGAGTTGGAGTCCAGCTTCACCACCCTGAAGCGAGACGCTGTGGTCGAAGGATTTGCGGATGCTAACGGCATCGTAACTCCAGCGGCGGAGTCCGTCGCGACAGAAACCGAGCTCGACGCGGATCCGCAGGCCTCCGCTTGCACGGAGCGTCCGCTCGGGGCTGGAGCCTGCGGAACGACGGGGATCGCAGAAGGAGTCGCAGAGGGAGCCACGGATCGCCCGGTCTTGTGATGATGATGATGGACGCCGTTAACCATGTACCCCTGGTGCATCACCAGCTCGTTAGGCGACGCGACTCCCGGCGTCTCGCCGCCGTGTAAACTGTTCAGCGTCTCCTCAGACGAGCTCCGCTCGGGGACGCCGGTGTCCGTGGCTCGGGAAACCGACACGTCCAGGATATCTGACGACGACAGGTCCTCGGTGTGCGACTCGTCCATGTCGTCGTAGCTCTCGGTGTCGTCGGCGATGCTGTTGTTGGCGCTGGCGGAGGACACCTGCGCGGGCAGGACGCTGGTGATCTGGAAGCCGCTCTTCTTCTTCACCGTCGGGACACCGAGGCTGTGCGGCCCGGGGGACGACGAACCGGCCGGCGGCGGATGCGCCATCACGGCGGTCGTCGGTAAACGGTGCGCTGGAGCTGATGAACACGCTACAGTCGGTGCAGTGACGTCGTTAGCAAACCGTTTATAGTCCCCATTTAAAGAGTTTGACAGCTGCTCCGACAAATCTCAGCGCTGCTTGTGATCAGTGAGTGTTTATGATGAATAACGCAGGCTAGCGTCGGCTAGCTCCCGGTTAGCACGTTAACCGCGCCGTTTGGTTAACCGACAGCGAACTCAATCCATCAGCAGAATATCGTTAACTTTATGTCCTGACAGAAATACGCGTTTGTGTCGGCGACACGCGTCAGTTACCGGCTGATAAATGAACATAAACAGACCGTCGACATCACCTCAGAATTGCGGACGCTCCTCCGAACTCTTGATTTGAGTGAATTCGGACTCAGACGCTCCGAGTCGCCGGTTAAATCCGTTTCACGCCGCTTTCTGCTCTCAGGCCCGCGTGAGGAGGGAGAAATGGCTTCATTCGCAGCTTTGCTGTCTCATCCCGTCGCTGTCTCATCACTGCTGGACGCTGTTAGCACGCTAACCGACGAGCTAGCAGCTGTGGTGACGCCAGCAGGGGGCGGGGCCGCGGCGCGCAGGACACGCCCACCGCTGAGACATTATGGACAGTCTTTCATTAATTTTCACTAAGTTAAAAATTCTAAAATATATATATATATATTTAAAGTTTACATGATAAAATATACATATAAAGCATTTTAAATTGTTATATTTTACATGGACTAATTAACCTTTTAGTAAATTTTGCAGTGTAAATAATTGTTTTGATGTGAATAATTTTAGTGTAAATGTTTTGTAAATTTTGCAGGGTAAAATGGTGGTAAAAAAAAAAAGGGTAAACAGCCATACTAGGCATAAACAGATGTGGTAAAGTAATGCTCAAATACCGCGTTTTCTAGAATTTATTCTTACATATAAACAATACAAAGATTTTTTCTTCAGAAAAAGAGATAGTCAAGAAAGATGTCTGTGTTAATTCATTAATATGAACAACATTTGTTACAGTATTTATTTGTTCATGTAAGATAATAAAAATAACTATTCATTGCTAGTTCGTGTCAGCTCAGGTCCATTAAACAATAATAAGAGATACAACTTTTGATTTTAATAATATATTAGTAAATGTTGAAATTAACATAAACTGATAAATGCTTTGGATTCTTTGTGATGAATTGTTTGTATTCCTCATTTGTAATTTGCTTTGAATAGAAGCATCCACTAAATGAATCAATGTAAATGTTTGGAAGCACTTTTCAGCATTTTCACTAACTAATGTTAACAAATGGAACATTATTATAAACATGAAGACACAAAAATGGGAACATATCCACAGCCGATATCTGACGAGGAGCTGATGAAGGTTAGGAGTTTGTGTTTGTTACAGGATGAACCTGCAGAACTAAAGCAGAGCTGAACAGACGTCAGCTTCTCCAGTCTTTGCTGGATGAGACACACGAGCAGCTGCAGGTGAAGACGGAGCTCATAATCAATCAGATTCACACGCACCTCTTTATTTACTGCCTCTGAGAGAATTACAGTCAGAACAAGAGCTCAGAACACAGAACAAACTAAGTCCTATCCATTCATTAGTTATGAGTCGTTTAGTGCTGTCAAACGATTAATCGCGATTAATCGCATCCTAAATACAAGTTTTTGTTTACATAATATATGTGTGCTGTGTATATTTATGTATATATATATATATATATATATATATATATTATATTTTGAAAATATTTCT